GAGCTGGTTTTGGCTCTTTTATTTTTGGAGCTCAAAAGTTGTGTTCGTGTTTGGCTCGTTTGCTTAACGAGCCGAACACGAGCTCTTCACGAACAAAGAGTCCTTTTAACAACCCTAATCATGTAGCCATAAGATATAAGACAATAAGGGTTTAAGAAATATTTAAAAATTATTATTTATATTAAAACATCATTTGAATCTAATTTAATAATTTTTATTCTATTTTCTTAATCAATATTTTAATTGATTATAAATCTTTGTAGCCTTGCAGTCAATTAGATTTTTTAAAATACCACTTAATATATATATATATATATAATTGATTAGTAGCATTTCGAGCCGAACACGAATGAACAAATATTTGTTCGTGTTGTTCGTGTTTGGCTGGTTAACTTAGCGAACGAGCCGAACACGAGCTTCTTAACGAGTCGAACACGAGCTGCTTGCGAACAACGAGCCGTTTTGACAACCCTAGCTTAGATAATGTGTCATTTGTACAAGAAACAATCTCTACTTACAAGAGAGAGGATATAATATGATAATATTATATTTTTGATACATGCTTTAATGGGGCTTATCAATCAACCATGACTGCAGTGGGGACAAAATGATTTCAAGAATCTATTACACTAATTGCTTCTTCCAATTTTCTCTCTTTTAAAAACATGGAAAACGTTGCCAGTTGCCACTATTATATTTATATTTTAAGAATATATTGTTCAATTATGGGTGAGGGTACGACAAGGGTATGCGTCTGAGAGAGAAATTTGACATATCTTGTCATTTTTACAAATATTTTTCTTAAAAAAAATCATATAATTATAATTAAATTCAAGACGATAACTTATCATTATAATAGACTTATGTATTAAAGATTGCCTACATTTGTGCTCTCCACATGCCCCCCTAGGGGCGGAACAAGCTTCATCTTTTAGGGTGGGGTGTAAACGAGGCTCGTGTTCGGTTCGTTTATATTTCGAGTTCAAAAAGTGTGTTCGTGTTCGGCTCATTTGCTTAGCGAGCCGAACACGAGTTGTTCGCGCACAAAGAGTCGTTTTGACAACCCTAATCACGTAACCATAAGATGTTAAGGGTTAGAACAAGATTTAAAAATTATTTTTTTATTAAAACATCATTTGAATCTAATTTAATAATTTTTATTCTATTTTATTAATTAATATTTTTAATTGATTATAAATCATTATGGCCGTATAATCAATTAAAATTTTCAAAAATATTACTCATCAAAGATATATATATATATAATTGATTAGTAGTACTTCGAGTCAAAACGAGCAGAATAAAAACGAATAAATATTTGTTCGTGTTGTTCGTATTCCGCTCATTAACTTAGCATATTGTTAGTTCTTGTTCAGCTCATTAACTTAGCGAACAAGCCGAATACTGTTCGCGAACAAGAAGCCGTTTTGACAGCGTTTTGATAGAGTTTTTTTTAGGGTGGGAAAAAGTACAAAATATTTAACTTTTTAATCTATCAGACAAAAAGAGAAAAAGCTCACAGAAGGCTAAATTACTAAAATATTTATGTTTCATGAAAATAAATAAATAAATAATTCCCAAATTCTACCCTAAACAGAATCTGATTCCCTCCCTATAACACTCATATTTGTAAGTTTGGGATCATATTCTCTTACTATTCACCTAATTGTCCTAAATCAATTTGAATTAACCTTCACCAAGTATTATATATATATATATAATATATA